CCCCCCCCAGACAGACCAAAAGTCCCCAACCCAAAAAGCCACAACACTGTGAATTCCTTAGGGTGGTGCCAGTCTCATCTTCTTAAACTTCCCACGCTCCTGCTGGGGGCTAAGGGAACGCTTATCTCCCCAAGCGTGGCCTTCATAACACCATTCCATCACATCTAGGCACTCATTAACATGCTAGTTCTGAAGGATCCATGATCTTGTGGCTACATAAATAAATGGTCGTATCTAAGGGAAAGTGTTATGATTGAGAGATGAGTAAAAAAGAGGGCAAAATCTTCACTTATCCTTGACATGGGATGGCCTGGACCTCCCTGACAAGACTAGTGGATGCATCAGAGACTCAGACCTTTGCATGTAATTCAGCAGAAGACCCTCCGCTTTTCATGCAAGAGATCTTGCATCTAATCTCTAGTCTTATTAAGAAAGGCTGGGGAAGTCTCTTAAAACTTTGAAAAGTTGCAATCATTCAACACAGAGAATACTAAGCTAGAGGAACCAGTTCCTGTTCTAGAACATGGGAATGCACATTTTCATTTTTGTTTCATTTGCAGGTAATGGAGAAACAGGATGTAATGGAGTCACACACTTTCACATGTGTATTTACATCCCATCTTTCCTGCAGGATTGTAAGTTTGTTCTCACAAAAACTCTGGGGTTGATCAGACTGAGAGATAAGGAGATCCCCAAAGTCATCCAGAGAAGGTTTATAATAACTAGAGATTTGAGCCAGGATTCCACCAACGCTGGAGGAGTCACAGGCAAGAGTGCAATGCCACACCCACCATCTTACCTGTGTTCACCTCCCCTTCTTGCGGACACTGCTGATCCCTGGGATCTCAAAGCTTTTGGGCGGTGTTTTTGTCAATGTTGGCAACTTTAAGGTATGTGGACTTCAACTCCCTGGGGAAGTCCATATATCTTAAAGTTGCTAAGGTTGAGAAACATTGGCTGGCTGGGGAATTCTGGAAGTTGAAGTCCACATATCTTAAAGTTGCTAAGGTTGAGAACCACTGCTTTAGGGGAACAGAATATTTGACTGCCAATACAGTGAATTATGAAAATGCTGGGAAATCCATGATTTGAAATCCAGCTTCAAATTCAGACTTGGCTAGGAAGCCCAGTGAGTGAACTTGGGCTAGCCACAGCTGGAAACAATACAGGAGTGATTTTCCATTGCTTTCTTTACTTGCCTTTCAGTGTAGCCTACAACCCTGGAAGAGGAGATACAGGCAGTCCCCAGTTTAAGAACGAGTTCCGTTCCCAAGGTCTGTCCTTAAGTTGAATT